GTACAGGGAGATGCCTTCTGATAGTCTTTTCACCTTGATGGGCATGGTTCTCCTTTTATTAATTCTTTGTCCTACCCCCTTTCACCTTAAGTTATTCCCCTTGATGGAGAAGACAGGCAAATAAGAGTTTTGGGGAATGGAGTAGCTCAGTGATACAGAGCTTGCCTGGCACTTCTGCAGCCTGGGGGAGAACAGGAAAGTGTTTGTCCTTTATTAGCCATCACCTTTATCTTATTGACCTTCTGCAGGAAAGCTCTCTTGATCTTGTTTTCAAAGTTTCTTTTTGTTTTCTTTTAAAATCTCTGGAATTTTTTTCCATTCCCAAATAATTTGGATATTAGCTTCTCTGGTCTTACTCCTGCATATTTGTGATAATTTCTTGTACTAGTCTTTTTTATATACCCTTCCTTCTTTGGTAAAGATGTTATTTTGCTTAATTTTAAAATTTATTTCATTGCTATTTTTCCTGTTTACAAAAGGAGTTTATGGTCAAAATAAAAACCTTCCAGAGTTTCATAGTTTTAAAAGTAGGCCATGGATTTAGCTCAGTGGTGCTGTACTTGTCCCATTAGCACAAGGTGCTGAGTTAGATTCCTGGTGCAAAAAAAAAAAAAAAAAAAAAAAAGCTTCTGAAAGTTTACCTTTAGTGATCTTGTGGTAATTTTCTTTAGACTGCTCCACTTACAGTAGATTTCCTTGGGCAGCTAACCACTGATTTCTTGAATTATCTTACTACTTTCTTCCCTATTTAGATTTTCAATGTTATAGACAAAATATTTATTTTTAGTTTCTAGCTTTCTCAAATTTCATGATGAAATCATGGACAGATAGAACACAGCTGTCTTCTCACTGAACATTTTCGGTGGTGGTGGGGTGCCTTAGCAAAAGTGGGAGAGTTAGATTCCTGGTGAAAAAAAAAAAAAAAAAAAAGTAAAGCTTCTGAAAGTTTACCTTTAGTGATCTTGTGGTAATTTTCTTTAGACTGCTCCACTTACAGTAGATTTCCTTGGGCAGCTAACCACTGATTTCTTGAATTATCTTACTACTTTCTTCCCTATTTAGATTTTCAATGTTATAGACAAAATATTTATTTTTAGTTTCTAGCTTTCTCAAATTTCATGATGAAATCATGGACAGATAGAACACAGCTGTCTTCTCACTGAACATTTTCGGTGGTGGTGGGGTGCCCGGCATCAACCTCAGAACCTTGCTATTGCGAGGCAGGTGCAGCGCCACCGAGCTAAATCCCAGGCCCCTTTCTCTGAACTTTTAAAAAAGCACGCCTTTCTCACATCTGTGAAACAGATTTGAGCATCCTCAGTTTTCTCTGCTTGGCTACTCGGAGCATCATTTTATGCTTCGGTTCTTAAACAAAAGACTTAGCTTACGTGGTATCGCAGTTCTCTTTATACTCTACTACCTACAGTTCTATATCATTACGAAGTTGCATGGGTGAACAGACTTTAGAGAAGACTGCGGAGAATAGCTTTCCCAGGCATACGTGTCTGGCACATGGATAGTGAGAGCAGCAAGGAAGCTGGTCCAGAAAGTTGGAGTCTCTTATATGACATTAGGTAATTTTATTCTCTTTGCCTTAGTTCCATACAAAATGAGATAAAGGAATTTGAGGCCAAGCCTGTGAAGTTACACTTAGAATCCATACCTATTATTTCATGTATTCAGCACTTCATTTATCTGGGAACCAGCACTAACCTTCTGTCTTAGTCACTTTCTGGCCACTGAAACACAATATCCAACAACTTAAAGGAGGAGAGATTTATTTTGTCTCACAGTTTGTAGAAATTTAAGCCCATAGAAGGCTGACTACAAGACAAAATGGCAGGGCAGAGGGGCATGATGAGGAGAGCCACTCATGGCATGGTTGACAGGATGCAGAGTGAGGGGAGGAGTTGGGATGGAGGATACACCCTCTCAGACCAGTGCACAGTGTCCCACCTCTTCCAACCAAGCCCTACTTTCTAACAGCACATTTAGCTGTAAACTCCTGAGCAGACAAATTCACCCGTGAGTATTACGCTCTCACGATTGGATCACCTCCAAAAAGCCCTGCCTAAGAGCACATGAGGTTCGTTAGATATAAACCACAGCAACTTTCTTTATGGAAATTTTTATGGGATCTGTCATGTTTCGTCATTCATTCATTCAACGAATACTTACTGACTGTCAAGTCTGATACTATTTTAGATGCCATATACACTGCAATGAATAAAACATCCTCATCCTCCTGGAACCTATATTCTACATATTATTTCAGGTGAGGTGTGCAATAGAAAAAAATGAAGCAGGAAAATGAGGTAGGCAAATGCTGTGTAGAGGGATAGAATGTACGAAGTACTATGTTCTATATGTGGTCAGAAGTGGCTTGATTTAGAAAATTTTGGGAACTAGATCAAAACAGGATAGTTTAAGCCAAAGACATGGAATAAGGATTAAGGGGAAAACTCTATTAGATGTGTTAGGCAAAATGGCGTTGACCCAGTAAAAGAACAGAACCAGCTTGAATTTAGGGTTCTGAACAGGACTTTGAGGAGTAACTCCAAAGGAGAGTCCACTAGGAGTTTATTTCACTGGGTTTATATGGAGTGTTAGTGGGGTGGGCTTAGGTGGGGTGAGGTAAGGGGAGCATGAGATTGGGGAAGTGAGAATACCTGAATAGCAACAGCTGAGGGGCAACCTAGCAATGGCTGAGGTTTTGTTGTGAAACATCTGTATCTGTACTCGGGGTCCTCACAGAGTGGGTGGGGCAGCAACAGGATGTGGGAGTCAGGCTGTGACTGTTCCCAGAACTCAGGCTGTGGTGAGCACCATTCTGGAAACTCAAGTGGCTGGGGGCACAGGAGAGTCTGACCTATCAAGAAGCAAGAGAGAAGAATGAAAAAGA